CTCTCTCAGTTGAATCAGGCGTATATTTTGCATAGCATTCCTAATAAGTAAGTAGTTACTCGGTAAATATCTTGAAGGTTGAAGGTGAGGCGGGTAACTCATCGAAGAAGACATTGCGAAGTGGTCGCGCTGTGTCATGAATCGGCAGAGGTTAGAATTCATGGGCTAGTCATTGGATTGGGTCCCAGTGGCTTAATGGTCTACAAGCTCACTAGGAGGTTTTGGGTTCGAACCCTGGAGCTGGGTGCGTACTGCTGAAGAGTCTCAAACTAGGTTAGAGGAAATAGCTGTCCACTACTCCCAGACAGGTTTTCCAATGGTTCTCTGACATGATGAAACCCTGCAACCAATCAAAAAAAATCCCCACAAAACCAATACTTGAAAATATCTTTTAAGTTTAGGGATACGAGCTACACGTATTGTTTGATGGCTGGTAATATTACCCAATCGTTGTCAGAGGGATTTTATTCCATGACCCATTGACAGCAAGATGAATGCTTACTCCAGTAGTCTGTATTTACACTCGAGAAAAGTGAACGTAATGATTGAAATATTCTGCTATAAACTGTTCAGCTTATTTAATGTGTGAGTTTTCAAGACTTAATAAAAAAAGTTATCTCTTTATATAATGTAGGGAGTGTAACACATCTGAGTAAATAGTATCTCTGCAAAAACTGGTCTCCTAGTAAAAAGTAGACATATATAAAAAGTTGCTATTGCAGATATCTCATCGATACTGAGATAAGTAGTTTCAACATTTCGTCCGTCGAACTAGTCGGAACTTCGTCAGGGGAATGATTGACTAATGGTCATCTATCACTGGCCATTTCAATATATGTGAGATTTTTTTAAAAATGTAGCTCTTATGTATGATAAAGTACTACTTACTAGTAGCCATTGCATTGCCAATGTGTGCTTACAGTCATAAGGTGACTCACGTTGAATGGTACGCATCTACCGGTGGGGGAGGAGAAGAATGTGTTCATCTAATGGAGAAGGATTTCTCTATTTTAAAGTTGATTTTGTCACACAATGAAATCAGAAAAAAAGGTTTAGGAAGTATTGAACAGCTGTAGCCTTATAGTCTCTAGGAGCTTTCTCCACACCTACTAAACTTTTGTAATTATTAGATGGCAATTGCTTTCCTGTTTAGCCATTCGGTTAAAAATGCTATGACTAACGATTTTCGACTTCAACCAATACGAAATGTAATGCTGTCGTTATCTAATGTCATTGATAAGCGTCTCTATTGATTTAAAAGTCAATCTGGTTCAAATATAACCGACTTTTAGGTTGTAAGCAGTTGAAGAGAATCCGACGAAATTACTGATGGTCGCATATTATATTCTGCACAAACATTCGTGTTTGCTTTGTTTAAGATGAGAATATTTCGCTGTGTAGTTGAGAGTGGATTATGCGATTTAATTAGCTCAGATCTTTTATATGATTGTGAAAATGTCTTGTATAATCTGAAGGTTAATTTCCAAACTATTTTTGGGAGAAAAAAGCATTCTGAAAATGTCATTCATAACAATGACGATTGCTTTAAAATCACACAGAAATATTTTGATTGGCGGTAGAATTGTTTTTCTGAAAGGGATTTTTTAAAAACACTGTGTATGAATGAATTAACAAATAATCGACTATTTTTCTGATGTTGTTGTGTTCTCTGAGCTCAGAGAATACAGTCCTGATTCTACGACAGACCCAAAATACACAAACCAAATATCCCGTTACGACCAATTGTATCACTCCCAAGAACTCCAACATACAATGTATCCAAAGAATTATACAGAAAATTGAAACACCTAACGGATTCCTGCGATCACTCCATCAAATCTGCTATCCAATAACTAGAGAAAATCAAGGTTATTCAAGTAGATGACCAAGAAATAATGGTATCCTTCGACGTCACAGCATTATATACCTCAATTGGATAGAAACTAGTAAAAGAAACGATGGAGCAGTTACTCAGCAAGGACGGACACCTCCCACAACAATCAAAAATGCAACACACAAGTTGGATAGAATGCATAAACCTATGCCTAACAATGTGCCTCCAATTCAATGGCCAAATATATGAACGAATCAAAGGAACACCGATGGGATTGCCAATGTCAGGTTTGATTGCAGAAGCAGTGATGCAAAGGCTCGAAAACATAATCCTACCAAAGATCAAACCCAAAATTTGGATACGTTACGTAGACGACACATTCGTAATAATCAAAAGAAACGAGTTGGATAAAACTCACAACTTAATAAACAACGTCTTCAACGACATTAAATTCACAAGAGAAGAGGAATCCGAGAACAAAATCCCATTTTTGGACGTCTTAGTCAAGCAAACAACCACAGGGAATTAGAAACTCAAGTTTATAGAAAATCAACTCACACAGACCAAATACTGAATTACAACAGCAACAATCCAATAAGACAGAATAGTAATTGTATACAAACACTATTCAAGAGGGCCAGGACTCATTGCAGCACTCCCACGTTAAGGAAAATAGAAGGAAGATATCTCATGGATGTCTTCCAAAAGAATGGATATCCACGGAATTTCATCAAAAGACACATACCCCCAAGCCAATCTATCAAACCAAAAGCCCCCAAGGAAAGCACAAAGAAAATCACCTTACCATATATAAAGGATATCTCAGAAATCACTACAAGACTCGTCAAACCTTTATTAATTGACGTCACACACAAACCAACAAAATCACTCCACCCAGTTCTATGTCAACCAAAAGACTCAACAACGAAAGAAGATAAAACCAACATCATCTACAAAATAAATTGTAACAACTGCGAAAAACACTACATTGGCCAAAGTGGACGTCCCCTTCGTCTTCGTATCCATGAATATAAACTAGCCGTCAAAAGACATGACATCCACTCCCTCATATCGCTGCATACAGACAACCACGGACATCAATTCGACTGGCACAACGTTCAAATATTAGACAGAGGAAACACCAAGAATGCCAGAGAATTTTTAGAAGCCTGGTATTCTAGTGAATCGTCAATCAATAGACGCATTGACAAAGACAAAATTTACCAATCGATAAGAAGAAGGAAATCTCCAGTACACAAAGGGTCAAACTTAAAGCCAAGGAAACAATCAGTTCCAATACAAGTAACCTAGAGGATGTGAAAACACACCAAAACAACCAATCATGTTCAAGGTTACCAGGGGAGATGACTAATAAACTCGTGGAGGAATCTAAAAGCCCGCTTTAGATTGAAGTATGCGCAATGAAAGCTTCGTAAATAGACTACCCAGCTCAGAGAACACACAACTTCATTAAAATCATCCACCTGAGCTACAAATCTTCTCCATCATATCTAAATCGACTATTTGTTGCTTATATATGTATATCGGGTTCTTTGGTTCTAGGCTGTTGGTACATCTCCTTTGAGTTCTGTACATGGGTGTAGGAGCATGTTGGCGAGGGATGAAAGAAAGAATTTTTTACTTGTGTCTTTTATTTCTGTGTTTAGTGATGACCTTCTAAGGGTAGCTGTTTTCAATTAAAATATATCGTATACAATCTTTAGTTCGTTATTAGTCGCTAGATTTCGTCACAAACTACCGACCAATGGAAGAAATTAAAGAATACGAATAAATTATTGTTTTTTTGGCAGTTTGGAAAGTAGAAAGATTGAGCGAAGAAATATTTACTTTTCAATTAGATCCTCATCTCTGGCTCTACTCTAATATACATAGCATTTTTATTACAATACACAACAGTTTACCAATCAAGTGGTGATATGTTTGTTAACAATAATTAAACAGTGTCAAAATGTCAATGGGTTGATAATTAACGAAGAAAATCAATACAAATTTAAAAGGTAGAAATGGATAGAATAAATTAATTTTACAAGGATAACACGTAATTAAAGATGAAGTGGTCAAAATAAAAATAAAATAATTTTGACAGTTATAATTTAATAGGTTTAGGGGGAGGGGGGCGACGTAGTCCTGTCTTGTAACGATGGCCACGGTAAGGAAAGTGGCTGTACAAATTTCTTCTGTACACATAGGCTTGGTTTCTTCAGGTGGATTCCTATTGCTTCAGCTGTCTGTAGAAGACGAACTCGTAGAGCAAAGTTAAGATTAGTCGGAATGCGATAAATAATTTTAAATGCAGTATTCACATCAACCTTATGCTCAGTATCAACAAGGTGTGCTAAAATAGAACTACGAATAGATCTTGTTTGTCCCTTGCTTAACCACGCTGGATGATGTTCAGAAATACGACGATGAAACTGCCTAATTGTACGCCCAATGTAGCTGGCTCCGCAGCTGCAGTCAAACTGGTAGACACACATAGAAGAGGCGAATTTAGGTAGTTTATCCTTATTTCTCGAACGTAGAATAGGGGTGGTTTTGAAGAGACAACGTACCTCTGCTGCATAATAAGCTCTTTTAACTGCATTCTTCAAGCGCTGTGTTATGATTTCGCTGATGTTGTCACCGAGGAACTGCAATTTTATGAACATTGGTTTTTTCGAAACTGTAGCAATACTGACTTTCCTTGGTGCTGAATTCATATTTTTCTCAATGAATTTATCTGGATAACCATTTTTTCTAAGTAATTCTTTAATAATCTTAAGCTCCTCATTGAGGCAGTCGTCTGAACAGATTAACCTGACTCTATGAACCGGACACTTTACCAGGTTACGTTTACATTTCAGAGGTACAAAACTCAAAAAGTGAGTGTACTGACCTGTTGTTGTAGGTTGGAATGTATCGCGCTCTGAGGTTATCCTCTTTCGAGGTGAACACGTGGATGACATTATATCCCACGGATGATAGGAATAGGTTGATACATGACTTTTGCACACACACTTTCAAAGGCGATTGTTTATTTTTTCAATAGTCCTTAGTCTCTGTGAAGACATTCACCTTGTTATATCCATGAATATGTCACAGGAATCCTTCCAGAAAAGAAAAGTGTTTATCTTGTTTGTTATATCTTTTGTTTTTATTATTATAGCCTCTCATAGTGATATGGTTGATATTCTACAAGGACAAGAAACTGGAGTCCCACCAACATCAGCAGTATCTAGCTCTGGTGATATATCCACTTGAGTATGTGTATATACATCCCTGTCTGTTGTCTGTCTATCTATCAGTGTGTGTGCTCATTAAACACTGGTGATTTGTTTGCGCATTGGTGGTGTCTACACGGTGATTATAACTCGCACGCACGCACACACACACACACACTTAACATAAATGTTTATATTGTGTCTCAAAATGTGTTCGTTTCTTATGTGATGATGCAACACAATTATGATCATAAACATGATTTTACTCGTCTTTTTCTTCAAACAGAATTCAAAACGAAGAGACACCAGACATTGAGAAATTAGCATTTTTTAGAAAAAAACACAGAAATCAGAATCATGATTTTTATCACTGTACTTTCTTTCCTTTTTGTTTGTGTGTTTGTTTGTTTGAATGTGTGTGCGTGTGCGTGCGTGTGTGGGTATGCTTGTCTGTTCATTTACTCTTTTCTATTTTATACTGAAATATGTCTGCTGCTTCTCCTTTTGTATCTTTACATCACTACTATTGTTAATAAGTTCAAACCTGTATCTTGGTTTATTAATAACCATTTATACTTATTATTATTTTTACTCTTTAAAAAGGCTAGTCATCCTGTTATACTGTATGTATTTACCATTGATTTTATTGCATGTTACAATCATTGTATGTATAATCATGATTTAAGGCATTAAGGCATTATATCAAATACTCCTGCCGCTGTTCCACATCGGCATGATGTTTACGCTCCCTATCGCCCTCTCTCTCTTTCTGACTGTTATTTCCTTCTCGCCTATTTCCTTTTTGTTGTTTATGTACAGTATTAATTTCAATAAAGATTTATCTCTGTACAATATCATATGTTGTTGTTCTTCTATGCCCTTACTTCTATTGAAACGTTGAACAAGATTAAATGTTTAAAGATGTGTGGAAGTGTTCTGTGAAGGTAGTCAGAAGGAAGCACCCCGAGCCTCGGTCGGTCGGTTTTCGACATAGAACTTTGCACATATGTGCGGCAGTTCAAGTCGCCACACTCCCTCCTTGTAGCACACAAAGGAAGAGAAGAAAGTAGGAGAAATGCATAATATAGACAGTAAACAGAGGTGTGAGACAAAGGAATAGTAATAACGAAGAACAAAACAGTTTCATTGGAAATCATAAGTCACAAAGAGTGGATGCATCTGCACCAGCCAGCCATTGAGAACGATGACTTTGAGCCATGTCACCAATTGTTTCCAACCATTGGTTTCTACCGTCCCTAGGACCCTAATCGGTCAGGAAGTCTACACCTTCCTACGTGGCTTAGACTAACTGTTGTGGATTTCATTGACAGGTGCCATGTTTTCGTTTGACTGCCGCTAGCTCTTTTCCAGCCTGGCCCTATATCAGCTAACATTGCCCATTGTCGAGGAAGGCGATGACTAGGCATACGTAACACATGTCCTAACCATCTCAGTCGATGTAATTTCACAGTCTCGTCGATTGATTTCCCCGCCTTACCTAGCACTCGACCGAAGCCTAACCTCAATATTGCTTACCTTATTATACAACTTCACGCGGGAGATAGAATGCAGACACCTATGATCGAAGACAGCTAATCTTTTCATGTCTTCCACTCTCAATGGCCATGTCTTGCCCACAGCCATAAAGGAGGACGGAGCGGACTGATGAGCAGTACACACGACCTTTGGTCGATAGTCGGATATCGCGTCTACGCCAGAGACGGCGTAAACTGACATATGCGAAACTAGCCCTCTGTATTTGTGCTGAGATTTCGTTGGAGATCAACCCGTTGGGGCTGAGCCTGGGTTTCATGCTTGTCGGTGTATCTGCAATCATGAAAGGAATTCATGTCCCCTCTGCGATTCGAACCCACGACATCCAGTGCTACAGTATGAGATGTTGCTGCCATTGGGTTATTCGGGTTTACGATTGACTTCTTGTGGGACTGAATCACATATTTTTATTGGACAGTACATAGTAACTAGTGTCATGCGTCTAGTTCTTCGCATGGTGCAGATTGAATTCTGTCAGTGAAGTTTGCAATGCACTCAGAAGGAACATGAGCTCCTTCAAGGTTGCAGATACGCCCTGCTGGCGAGTGCTGACAATGCCGAAACCTAAGTCCAGGGTATTCTGCCGATTACCTCCAACTATCTGATCTCAACAATTCAGAGTCCGTCGCGATGGTGACCGACCACATTGTAAACTCGATTGACAGAATTCATTCTGCACTAACGTCAAGGACTAAATGCATGACATTAGTTACTTCATCCATAGACTATAATGGTCTATAATAGTGATAACTATGATGTGAACCGTGATGATATGCTGTTCGGCTTCATAAACTTCACAGTTTCGAACGGAATCTTGGAATTCATGGTCACCAGGTTAATAGTTGAGTACAGTAATTGTAGAGTCATAGATTCATGTGATAATCATAGGGGGATCAGCCTGACGAACATAGTCTCTAAAATCCTAGGCTCAGTAATCATGTACAGACTGAAGTATGCGCTGAAGATGTCACCTAGTAGGGTGATGAAAGCTTCGCAAATTGACTATCCAGCTCAGAGAACACAACCATATCAAAGAGGGAAAATCAATCGATGAGGCTATAAAGTTACATAGATTGAGATGGCTAGGTCATGTGCTGCGCATGCCTAACCATCTCCTTCTTCGACGGGCATTACTAGCTGATATAGGTGCAGGTTGGAAAAGAGTAAGTGGTGGCCAAACAAGAACATGGCATCAATCCATGAAATCCCTGACAGTTAAACTGAGTCAGGTAGGGAGATGCAGACTTCCGGGTTGGGGCCCTCGGGACTCTAAGAATCAGTGGCTGGAAACAATAGGTGACATGGCTCAAAATCGTTGTCAATGGCGCAGATGTATTCAATCTCTGTAATCTTTCATATTCCTTTCTACCATTACTCATTCTGTTTCACTGTTACACTTGTCAAAATTCTATTGATTCTCTTCACTCATTTTCTTGTCTACCTTTGTGTGCTATTCGGAACGTGGCAACTCGAACTGCTGCACTTTGGTGCCAAGTTCTATGTTGATTCTAGAGAGACAGAATCATGGATGCGGAGGAGAATTATCTGAATTCTTGTTATAAATTTTAGATGATGGTTATAATTACACAAATGATTTCATTCCTAACAGACTTTGAAATAAGCATAAAACTTGGGCACTGTGGTAGAGTATAACTCCATTATAGATAAGATTTTATTTTGATAAATCGCCCAATGTTATACAGTAATATTAACTGATGACGTTTTGAGTACAAACTATATAAATGAAGTAAAAAGTTGTGTGAGTGACTTGATATGATTATGAGTGGCAATAGTTTGTGCTCGAAACGTCATCAGTTAATAATACTGTATAACAACACTGTGTGATTTATCAAAATAAAATCTTATCCATAATGGAGACTTTGAAATGTATTCCTTTTTTACGAATTGTTATTTTATCAGATGTTAGTTGTGATTGCGTCAATGTCTTTTTGTGTTTTAATTGTATTGCCATTTGAATGGGCTTTACGAAATCCGGTAAAAGACACTGGATTTCAACTCCTATGGTTTGTGTGGGATCTTGATGGTCTTGAGTTTTTTATCCCAGTTTGGCTCGTGGTCCGAATGAAAGTATAAGCATAAGAATATACCAAATGGGTGTGACCGCACCAGTAACCTTGAATGGGCAAATGAGATTCCTCATGTGAGTTCAAGTTACTATTCCTCTTGATTTGAGGCAAATGCCTGCTCTAACAGACTTATTTCTGAAATCTGGTATAGACGAAGTGTTCCAGTACTGTTTAGATGTGGGATTGACTGGAAAGGGAAGAATTTGTTCCTGTGGAGGTCTTATGAGTATAAAAAGCCTCAGTAGATTTGTTGATGGACACATTCGCGGTTGTAAATTTTGTTGGAGGCGAGTTACTGTTGAGGGAAGGTAAGGTAACAATTATATTTTTTCTTGGGAAACTTTTGTAGATCACATTCGTCAATAACTCCGATTTGGTATATTTGTAATTACTGGGTTTTAAAACACTCTTTGAGAGCTACAGCTGCTGAAACGGAGAATGGTCTCGTCTTAACCATACAGTGGTACCAGCACTGCAGAGATACTGCGTCTTGGAAGATGAGGAGAGTTACTTCTTTGTTGAGAGGTGAAGGTGTCGTTGTACATATAAATGCAACAATACTAAAGAAAAGGAATTCCAACCAAGGTCGTGAAAAAGCGAATAACATTTAGGTGAATGAGTTGTACGATACCACTTTACTGATATAATTCGTCGGAAGAATACCAGACCGAAATTCTACTGCTTGGTACCGATTATTACTAGACTGATGATAGCAGGACCTGTAATATTCACGGATGAATGGAAAGGATATAACTCATTGTTATCCCGGAATATGCACATTTGATCATAGGTAATAAAAAGACAGTTGCAGCGAAGAAAATTTTCTTTTCGACGAAGTCATCATCTAGGCTGTACATTCGTGTATTTATATCAAATGGATGGGAAAGTTCCAGAATAATTTCCGGTTAAGGGTCAAATTAATAAAAATTACAATTAGGAATTAGAATGCCATAATAAATAGGGGGATGGGTAAAACTCAAACAAAGTAGCATAATAACTAAGAAGATTGACATTGTGCAATTGGGGGTTAGAAATGTAGAGATAAGAAAATAGACAGGATGTTTGGGTAAGAAACTAATGTGATGAATAATTGTTTATGCAATCAGGGACTAAATATATAGAAATAGTAAAGTGACAAAATAAACAGGAAGTGTGGATATGAAAATATGGTAGTGTAGACAGGGAGTAAGAAAAACTAAAATAACATGAATAAACAGGAAGTTTAGATAAGAAAGGCGATGGGATGGTCATTACTACAAAAAAAATTTACCTGCTTATGATGGCCATGGCAGGGACAGAGGTTGGATGTATTTCTTTTGGATACAAAGAGTGGGTTTGAGCTTTTGTTATCCCTTGGATATATTCAACAGAGAGTCAACCATCCTAACAATTTTGCGGATTCTGTTACCAAGATCCACACCAGTTCTATCGAAGGATTTTGAGGAAGATTGAAGAATAGGATTACAGCCACTTACGAACCTCAAAGAGATGTTATTTGTAGCTATTTAGATGAATACATGTGTAGATTATGGTTTACCTTCTCTGTTGATAATTCTGTGGAATACTGGGAAGAATTTTTGTCACACATCGGAGAAAGACATCTTGTGTAACACTTTTACGTCATTTTTATGGATTATTTTCATAAATATATCTGCTGTATAGGCAAAAATAAGATTTTTCGTGTCAATGGTGCGTTTGAAACCATCTTTCCCTTTGGTACTTACTGTTGCTTAAAGTTTAACTGCACCAGGTAGTGTCTGTACAGTACTTAAGAGTCCGAAATCAAGACGAAACCTGTTTAGCATTCCTTGGCTTTTAGTCGATATCTGATCGATGTAGATAGTGGTGAAATGCAGCTTTTAATTATATTTAATCTCCAAAATCTCAAATTCTGAATAAAGTAAATTATGCATAATCCCCATCCAGGCATTAATGAAAACAAAACAAGTAGATCAGCGAAGAGTCTCTTTTCGGTGAATTCATTTTCTTAGCTGTAAAATCGCAAATATATATGAGTTATTTTGTATGTATGTGTACATTAAGTTTGTCAAACAAAAATACAATTGGTTATAGTTATTTTAACTTAACAGGTGAAGAGTGGTAATTGGAGTTACGTAATACGAAATCAGCAACGAGTGTAATGATAGGACTAGGAACATTACACCATCCAAAGTAACCAACATAGTCAGTCCTACAGAAAGTCAGTCGCCAGCCCGAATAGCTCAG